GAAAACTTAAAGGGAATTAACAAGCAGAATGAGTGGGAAGAGGCAGCTCACAATAGAACGGAATGGAGAACTTTTCAGTCACAGAAAAGCTCATGAAAGAAAAAGCCTTGCGTGACCATCTTCTGATGCGTGTCAAATACTCGTCAGCGAGTGATGGCGGTATGGTATGGTATGGTATGGTATTCAAGAATGAAATAAGTTACAATCTTGTTGATCTTTTTGTACTAGATAAAGTTAAATTTTACCTGCAAAGATACTACAAGAAGTGTAGTTTCTAGTTTCTATTTTAAATTTTCGTAGTAAAGCTGGTTATTCTCTAAGAATTGGGAAAAATGTCCTGGAAATTTAAAACATTCTGTAACTTTATTCATTTCAGCCATTTTTTGGTTTCGATTTATAATCTGTTTTTTTTTAAGTTAATTTGTTTTGAGTAATTACTCTTGTTAATTTCTGTAACTTACCTCAATTTCTTCCTTTTTAACGAAACGTGTTCTAATAATTTCTTTATCTATTATTAACTTATATACTCGTGGTTTAGAGGCAAATTATTTTTTTTTTGCAAAATATTATTTAGTACTATATTCTTTGGTAGACATTTTGCACTTGCGAATTTTGCGATCTTGAATGCTGATTACGAGCAACCAATCAACAAATTTCACGATATCGTCTGCTGTTTATCAGCGGAGTTAAGGCAGTTAAAATTTGGAATCACGGATGCTATTTACTAGACGGCATCGTTCGGCCTAGAACCATAGACTTTATTTTAAGTCTATGCCTAGAACCGAATCGCGATCATGGACGTTGGTTTGTTGGTTACATATAATATGCGGTCGAGTAGCTTGTTGGGTATCTAACCTTGCTAGAAAAGGTGGTAGCTTGTATGCCACTTGTGGAGGCTGGTCTCGCGCAAGTGTCGGCTGCCTCTCTTGCAGTTCCCTTGGGGGTTGGTCTCTTGGAACTTGCACTGTTAATGTTCTCAGTGTTGTTTTGGATTTCTCTCCAGCATCACCACAGGGGTTAGCCGGTTCACTTCTAGAGACCGCCGCATGTAGACGTATGGGAGACGAGAATACAATGAAGCAACTGGTTTCCCATGGTTGAGACCAGTAGAGACTCTATCAAGTCACGCATCCCTTTGACCTGGTTCCGCCATCGTAGGATTTATGTAGGTGAGGTAGTCTCCTCTTGGTCCGGCCGGTGAAGCCAAGAACACCCCCCACAGCCCAATGTGGTTACGTATTTACTGTTTGTTAACCAATTAAAAGACGTAGATTAACAAAATATAAGCTGTTTTGGTTGGTTCAAATCAACAGTTCTACATCCATCAGGCAAATATTAAACCCCCATAATAAAACGTTAGAAAACAGGGGTTCTAATAAACAATTTTCTTGAACAAGAATAAAGCATTTAAGCCTTTATGTGGCTTACGTATTTACTGTTATTAATCAATTAAAAGATGTAGATTAAGAAATTATAAGCTGTTTTGGTCTTAAGAAGTTCTACGTTCAAATGCAGGCAAAACGTTCAAATGCAGGCATAGCAAAGGTTTGAAAAAAACACATTTCTTAAATAAAGTAGATAATTTAAAGCTATATATGGTTACATTTTGGGAACCTATAAAAAACATGGGTAAAAAACAAAACCTATAAAAAAATGAAATTGGACCTAATTTGCCACCTTACATCAAAAAACAATTTAAACTCTGGACTTGCTTTAAATGCTCGATAAAAACATTTAGTACCAGAAAAAAACAAAATAAAATTTGTCAGAAACATATGTTTTTTACTATTGTATATCTTTTAACATAGAAATTCTATTAGCTAAACAATCGCCAAGGAAACACAAATGATAATTAATTATGTTTAATTTTATTTAAATTGCGATTAAGAATTAATTATATATGCAAACTTTACAGTTCTTTGTTTTGTGATTTGATAAACTACCAAACACAAAAGACTGAAGTAGAAGAATAAAATCTTATGCCATCTAGGAAGTCTTTTAACATTATTATTCCTCATTTTTCCTGAATTACAATGTTTTTTATTCACTTTTCATGAAATATCTAATGCTTTATGTGATCAAGGTTTTCTGTAAGAATATTGTTTTAAACAATCTATTTATTAGTGACAACCAAGAAAATTGCAAATGATGCTGAAATTGAGAGAGTGTTATGTAAATCAGCTTTACCTATCCTATACAAAACAAGGTTGTGATATACCGAAAAACTATTTTTTATATACACAGAACAATTGTAGATTTTTTCTGCCAGTTCTTAAGACGGAAACTGTTCTTTCTGGTAATTGGTTAAATACAATGAAGGATAAACGATTTGCAATGGAGTCTGTCTGACCTTACATCTGAAAAGCTCGCATTTTTGCAAGAAAGGAACTTCTTTTATTAAATAGAGGTCAATAAACAGCGGGAGAATAAAAAAAAGTATTTTTTCAAAAGCTTTAAAATTTCGAAAATTCTAGGACTGTATATGTATTTAACCATATTTTTCTGAATTTTATGAAAACTCTTTTGAAAAATACAGAAGAAACTAATGTTATTAACTAATTACAACACTCAGATTACGAAAATATAGGTTATATTGGTCATATAATTACGATACTACGATACTATATTTAGCCAGAAATTTAATCACCATAAATAAATTATTAAAAAACATGGGTAAGGAAAATATTTTTTTTTTGTCCGCTTTTAAGCCTTTGCTGGAGAGAAATCGCTGGGAAATTAATTTCAAGTTGGAAAAATATCCGCTGGGGGCGCATTTGTGATGGCTAATCAATTTTTCTCAAAAATATATAGGTTAAGAGGTATTTTATATTGTAATCCATTGCAAATTTGTATTTTTTGATATAGAGTATTTTGCTCTATATCATAAAATAAAGTGGTGGGGGAAGGTTAAACTTGCTTTTATTAAAATAACTATCCAAAAGGATAACTCTGGTTTAGGTTAGCCGATTTAAATAAGCTAGGGCTCGTTTAAAAGAGCTTTTCTTCCCTAATGATCTCCAGTATAAATTTTGTTTCCATATATTTTTTCGTGGCCGCTAAGGGGAGCTGTTTGACATCATAACAGATATGGCGCATTTGCATAAAAAAAAAATAGCATGGTATGTTTCTTTTTGCACTGTGAAATAGAGCACAAAATTTTCAAAATATCAGCGCCAAACTGCCACTTTCCATTTTCTCTCTAACGGGAGATATAAGAACAAATCATGTTAGGCGACCGCCTAGGATTCTAGCATTCTATGATCTAGAAATTATAGTAGTAGGCTAGGAAACAAAAAGAGGTAAATTGGTTAAGTTAAAATATCAAAACGTTTGTTTAGTTTTCATTAATCCGAATTTCGGACATTTTTGTGAAAAAAAAACGTCATAGATTTTTAAAGGTGTTTATGTAACATTATGGTCCATCCATATTATGTGTATCTCAAATACACAGTCGAGACACGTCGAGATTTGAAAGACTACTAGCGGTGATTGAAAGAATTGGATTTTGAAATAATTGGTTGAATTTCTGGATGCCACTGTATACGTGTAAAAGCATAGCCTAAAAAAGTTTCTTTATCTTCAAAGGTAATTGAGTTATATATTTGCTTTTTTTCGAAAAAAAAATCACTTCAGCCCCTTGACCCTTTCTCAGGTAAAAGAACTGTAAAAGATATGACTAAAACAACGAAAAAGAAAATGAAGAAAAAGAAGAAATCAAAACAAAAATTTAAATTTATGCACATGTCGAGAGTGAAAACAAATGCCTGTTGATTTGCATATTCTTGTAGTCTATAGGTGTGATTTTTAATAATTTTTGTTGGGAGTGGCAGAGAGTCTATACTAAAATTTAAATTTTCTGTATACATTTGGTAAAATATTCGATAAAAAATGTTACTTTTAATGTGTAAACAATAACTGGTTGTTTCCTTGTAAAACATTGTTGAAATAATATTAGTCAATACACGCTTTTTAGTATATTAGGTTTTCATATACAGGGTGGCATGAAAAAATATAAATGGTGCTTGGTTTATAAACGTGCATATTTTAAACATATTTTGTTGTATACAAAATAAGGTAGATAAAAAAGATAGGTATCGATAAAGTTCTAAGATTTCTATATTGCAACCCTCATATTTAGGTTCAAAACTGATTGAGAATAAAATTTTGCATATAGTAGTTATACTATACTATCTTTATATCCAAAAAGTGGTTAAAACAGAAATGAATTACTCCACTTGCTTTATTTTCACTTATCTATATTTTCCTAAACACCAAGGATAACAGAATAAATCCGTGAAGGAAAACTCACATAACAGGATATTTTTTAAGGCGTGGCAAACTTCACAATATTTAAACTGCTATATCACAACTGTTTTAAATTTTAAATGCAACACCGTCTACATTATATTTCTTTTAGATGCAGAATTAAAAAATAAACATTTTTGTATTTAAAGTGTTCCTAACAACTATTAATTTTTAACGGCTTTGCAGATAATCGCTGTATTATATTAAATAATATGGCTCTTTCAGCAGTAAATTTTATCAAACCCACCTAATGCTTTTGTCTGGTGTTTTAACGTTGAAAGAACCATAGGTAAAAGAATATCGCGAATATCTGCGAAACCTTTAATATAACACTTAATATGATACACTCTTTTACTGTTTTTAACCAAGTTTTAATTTAGTTTTATTAAATGAGAAATAGTTTTATTAAATGAGAAATAGTGTGCTGCTTGCAGAAAAATAATGAGAGTTGCAGTTTAATAAACTAACAATGATTACTTTATTTGGGACATCCCGTATACAACAAAATGATTTTCGGATATACACCTTCATAAATCGTACATCATTTATATAAAATATTTTCTCATATCTTCCTCAACAACGACGATATTGAATATCCTTAGACAAATATGAGCCAACCTGATGTATGTTTCGGGTTTTTCTGCTTTTTTCAGAAGATTTAACTGTCTGATTCTATTTTTTTTTTTGGTTTCCAGATTCATAAACACATGACTGTGGATGAAATTCGCGATACATTTCACGTAGAGAGGCATGATTTAGGTAAGTTTAAAAAAAACTAATATTTTTACGCCAAAAAAAAACGTAATGTATATTAAGGCGAATTCTAACGACTCGTGTATACTTGGCAAGTACGCCAATATTTGCGTATTTGGCAAGTATACTATCTTTGTAAACAACATTTTTTTGCAACAACCTTAGGGCTCACGCGACATCGACTGACAAATAATTGCACAAGTAAATCTCACATACGACATGGCAAGTATAGATATGTCAGTAACAAATGTTTGTACAAGTACACGAGTCCTGAGAGTCCGCCTTTATGTGCATACTAGGGTCGGCATTTCTGGTCTTGGGTGCCGATTTTCGTGTGTACGAAGAGTACGGTCAACACGCTTAGTAAAATAAGATGTACTGAATACAGACACAAGTATTATTCCAAGCGCATGGAATCTAGTGTCAAATTAAGTGATTAGGTAATAAATACTTCGTATTTTTGCTTTCTCCGACTTACTAGATTGCCATAGCGATTCACTCCTATGCATGTAAACGCCGACCCAAGGTTTCGCTTGCCAGCAGGGTATAAATATCAAACATTTGAGAGAACTCCAATAGGTTTATTTATTTTTCTGGGTACAAATTATTTTTATACCACGTTAAAGCCGCACCATATTAATATACGTTTTATTCTTGTTCATGCTACATTTATTTTTCTGTACCTATTTAACAAACCAAAAAAAAAACAAATACAAATACAAAAAAGTTCTAAAAAACAAAAATCGTGAAAAAAATGAGGTCATTAAATGTTACAATTCTGGCTTATAAATAAATCTTGATTGTGTTATTTTGTTGTAAAGGTATTTACGAAAACCTGGTTTTAGAATATTGTATAAACGTTTGAGCCTATGGCCGATTGTGCATAAAATTAGTTTATAGTTTGCTAAGAAAGCCACAATATCTAAAGCGTTGTTGCGTTAAAATGGAATGATACAAATTGCACGCTTTGTTGGATTTACTTGCCATACTAAAATATTACTTTAGGCACTTCAGGTTTATTTTAGATGTCACGAATTTCAGTAGTTTCTTAAATTATCTTATGTAACGAAAATTGGCGACTATACCTCAAAAATAGTTCAAAAACATGGGTTTAAAAAATAAATTTTCTTTTAAAACCAGAGTACTTAAACTTGTATATCTTTACAAACTCTAAAACTACATCAAATTTTCTAGATATGCTAAAATTTTCACAATTTTATCAGAAAACGTAAAAAGTAACAGACAAAACAGGCATTTTTTCAACAGTCTTTCCATATACCATACAGTTCATACCAACTAAACTTTTAGTCACGTGGTTAAGCTTGACCGGCAAAGCGTTGCCCACTTTTATATATTTTCTTTTAATCACAATATTTTAGGAAAGAAAAATAAATCAATTATTATAAATATACAGGGTATTTCAAAACAAGTGCGAAAAACTTCAGGGGGTGAGTCCTTGTTCAAAATTAAGGGTAGTTTGCTTTATACACTTTGGGTCAAAAGTCAACCATTAGGAAGATATCGCGGTACAAAGATGGCGGAAAAATAATGTTTTTATTTTTTATCTTAAAAACGAAAAGCCATAGACTAATGAAGTTTTATGGAAGCAATACTGTTATGAAAACACACTTTCTGGTAATTTTCTCACTTTTTTTAAAATGAGTGGAAGGTGTTGAAATATACTACTTCCTCGACTACTCCATCATTCTTGTTAACGAAATTTAAAGAAAAATCTTATCAAACACATGCAAAAAAAATAATTTGAATAGTTTAGTTTGTTCAGAAACTTTTTTATCTCTTGCGTTTTTTTGATAAAACTCACCGATTTGATATTAAAAAATAAAATGTAAAGCATTACATGTCAGGGCAAAAAACATTTTTAGATAAAGAATCTAGTGGGCTGCTGTCAAACAGTTTTATTTCGTAATAAAATCGTTACATTTTACAACCTTTTAAAAATTATTTACCAAGACAATTTTTGATTCTGTATTTTAATTCATACGTACAAAGTAGGAAGTACAAAATAATATCGTTAAAAAAATAATGTTTAAACATTGCAACTGAAATAAAAACACAACGTCTTTTACAGGAGCAATTAAATTTTTTACAAGAAGTGTTGAAAATGTCTACCTTGTGATGTAATACATGCATTTATCCTACGCAACATTGAGCCCCTAATACGGTGAAATATACCAGTATTATTTCTTATTATATCACATGATGCAATTATGCGATTTCGTAGGTCTTCGATATCTTGTACTGGTGTAGCGTAAACTAATTCTTTTAAATATCTCCAAATACAAAAATCCAAAGGATTCAAATCTAGGGATCGAGGCGGCCAGAAATGAGGCCCACCTCTTCCCCCACAACACAGTCCCACCACAGGAGGCCCACCACAGGCCCACCTTCGTACATTTATGCTGAAATGTGCTGGAGCATCCGAGATAAAAAAGTTTCTAAACAAACTAAACTATCCAAATTAATTTTTTTGCATGTGTTTGATAAGATTTTTCTTTAAATTTCGTTAACAAGAAGGATAGGGGTAGTTTATTTCAAACCCTACCACTCATTTTAAAAAAGTGAAAAAATTACAAGAAAGTGTGTTTTCATAACAGTAATGCTTCCATAAAATTTCATTAGTCTATCGCTTTTCGTTTTCAAGATAAAAAGTAAAAACATTATTTTTTCGACTTTTGACCCAACGTTTATGAAACAAACTACCCTTTATTTTGAACAAGGAATCACCCCCTGAAGTTTTTGGCATTTGTTTTGAAACACCCTGTATAAACAATTATTATTTACATCAACAAAACTCACCTTCTTCACAGCACGTAAAGAACATAAAGGGCCATTACTACCGCTTTTCTATTCAAAATAAAGTCGCGATGATGAGTTTTTTACGACTATTAAGCTATCTTGTACACTTAGCACTAAAAGAGGATCTAAAAAGAACAATGTTTGACTGCAAGGTCTGCTAGTAAACATTTTTAAGCTTATAGTATCACAAGACTATTTATTTAAACCAAAAACTCGTAATACAAAACTAAAGTGTCAAAACGAATAAAATGTCAGGAAATAAATAAATAAATGCGGCAACATGACATTTTTTACAGCAGAGCTACCACCTGAATCCCCAGCGCGAAATTTAAATTCCAGTTAGTCAGCCCGGCTCCGAAATATGTCCATGGTTGGCAACAATGAATTTAAAAATCGCGCCCTCGATTACGTAACTAAAAGTTTAATTGATATCAAATATGATCATGAAATGAGGCTTTTTTGGACAAGTCACCGATTTTGATCAAACTGTTGTTATTGACTAACCAATAATTTACCATTAAAGAACGCAGATCACATTTTTTGTTTATGTATCCTAAAAGGCGATACACTTTTCTGCAAAAAGGATAACATTCTCAAAATCTATAGCTCTGAATATTTGGTATTTTTAATTTAATATTGGTATACCGGGTGCGTCTCGTCTCAAAAGTGCCTCACCCAACTTTTTTACTTCAGTTAAAAAAGCGAGATTTGGTATGTTAGTATATGACATAAATTAGGATTGCTTGACGTATTCAATTTTTTTTCGGTCACTTCCTATGTCACCGGAAATTACTACAACTTTTGATTTTCAAATGTCATCCTCGGTCTTTTTTTACTTTGTTCTATAGAAAATGACATTCTGAATAGAATGACATATCATATGTCAACTTTTGATATTTGAGCATATGGTTTATTTGAAATTATAACATGCGGTTCATGACGAAAAATTGACTCGAATACCAAGTGTGTCGTAGGTCTATTAATAAATTATCTAATCTAGTAAGTAATCTAATTATTCGTAAAAAATGCTTTTTCCAAATATGCTAATGAGCCACCCTCGTTACATTTGAAAAAATTGAGATATGATTAAAAATACGATTTGGGCATCTTTTAACCGGTCAGGACAAGGCGCTTAAAACATTAGACTATCAAATGTATTTTTCCAAGGCTCCTTGATTAAACATTAGTGTTTTTAACATAGTCATGGCACTCTAGATTGAAGTTTAAAATACGAGTTTTTAATAAGTGAAAATGTCATTCTCTTCAGAATGTCATTTTCTATCGAATAAAGTAAAAAAATACAGAGAGTGCCATTTAAAAATCAAAAGTTCTAATCATTTCCGGTGAAACAGGAAATGACCAAAAACAAATGAATACGTAAATCAATCCTAATTTATGTCATATACTAACTTACCGAATCTCTTTTTTTTATCTGAAAAAATAAAAAAGTTATAGGGGGTGGGCCACTTTTGAGACGCACCCGGTATAGCATATTTACTTGTAACGAAATATTAAGAATAAAGCACACTATTAAATATAACATCCAAGATATGTCTTGGATACTTTATTAATACTGTGTTTCAATGAACTTAAATTTTTTATGTGATTTATATTTTAAGGACATCCTTCTAACATACATTTTTGGTATTTAACACATACGTATCTTAATAGCGTAAATCAGCATCTAAACATAACTTATTTTGTTTGGATTGTAATTTCAAAGACATTCTCGTCTAAGAATAGATGCAGGAAGTATATGTTTATTTAATTTGATTTTTATAAATTATTAATCATATATTCCTTAAGTTTTTTTTGTGTATGAAAAGAAAAAAGGAAGAAATATAATCAAGATGGAGGTTCTTGTGTTATGTTAGTTTTTGAAGAGAGTTTTGTAATCATGATTAAGAGCCCCATACACTTCGGTTATTTTGCACGGTTATAACCGAACGGGTAGGACTGATCAGTTAAAAACAGCAGTGTATGGGAGTGTTCCGTCCAGTTTTGTCCAGTTTTGTTGGTACAATATTTAGATAGACAGATATTTTAACCATTATATAATTTTTCGGCGCATTGCACCATTTTCCTTTTCTGGATTTTATTTTTTATCGCAGTTACCGGCCGCCATTGCTAACAAGTTGTTTGTCGAATCCATCGTTCTTGACTACGGCTATGGAGTGTAGAGGTAAGGC